GGAACAGCCCTCTGCTCAGCCGGGGCCTGCTCAGCCCACCGTGCTCCGCGGGCAGCCTAGGCCCTGGCAAAGCCTCCGGCTGGGCTGCTCAGCAGGGCATCCAGCAGTCATGAGCTGGCCCGGAACCCGCTCTGCGAATCCCTGGACTCCAGCTTCCCCCGAATCCTTCCTTATTGGCTTCGTGTGGATTCATCTGCAGTTTACTTGCAACGAGTAACCGATGCGGACAGTGACTATTTGCAGAGCCGCTCAGGGGAGGAGGCGAGAAGAGAGAAAGGTCCGCTTTGCCTCGTAGAAAAGAGGTCTGTGAAAAACAGTCCCACGATATTCAAAACCCCACTGCATGGCCCGGCTGGTGTGGTCAGTGGTTGAACGTCGACCCACGCACCAAGAGGTCTCCTGTTCGGTTCCCGGTCAGGGCACATGCCCAAGTTGTGGGTCTGATCCCCAGTGGGGGGCATGCAGGAGGCCGCCACTCGATGTTCTCTCTCATCGATGTTTCTCTCTCTCTCTCCTTCTCCCTTCCTCTCTCTCTAAAATCAATAAAGAAAAAAAAAAAAAGCCCACAGCATGGAAATGGAAGAAAAAAGCCCACAGCATGGAAATGGAAGTTCACCACAGCTCTAGGTGGGTCTCCCTCTCCCTCCTCAAGGGCAACTCCAAGAGGAAAGTCAGAGCAGAAAAGGAAAGCTGTTTCTGCACCCAAAGATGCTCAAGGGACAGCCCGAATCCACCCAGACGCTGAAGCTCCAGCTAGAGGCATCCGACCTTTAAACATGCCCCAAACCCTCCCAGGAACGAGAACCCCAAGGGAGAAAGGCTGGGAGCTGTAGAACATTGTCTTCTAACCCAAGGAAGGCTCTCGCTCAACCCAGGAACGATGCACCAGTATTTATTTTGACTTTTTTTTCCCATTGAAACCAAAAACTGCTATCCAGCCAGTACAATTAATGCCGTAAGAGCTGAGATGTATTGTGTATCCCAGTGGTACCCAGGGACGGTTAAGTAATGAAATCTTTCCATTAATATTGATAATAAATAGTTTGGGGCTGTTCATAACACAAATGGATTTGCATTCATTTTACTTGAGTCACTTTGGGAAATTGACTTTTTTTTTTTAAGTACTACTTCTTTATTCGTGCAAGCTGTAGTCTGAAACACTGATACGCTGTCCCTGCCCCTATTAAGGTGTGCGGGCTGGGACAGCATCTTTGCACATCCTGACTGGGCGTGTGGTAAGCACGTGTGAAGTGAACTCACGTCAAGTCCATCTTACTTCACGCCCACCTCTTCTTATGGGATGTGGGGAAGGATCGTCCTTACCCAGGGAAGGTGTCCCCTGGGAGACCTAGTTGAGTGGTTTTGGAAAGGAAGAGGCCCCGATGGTGGCCGTCACCCTGGCCTTTAGTCACTGAGCTTACATTAGCAGCCCTGGGCCATGGGGCATATTTTCAGGCCTTTGCAAACTCCAGGGTCTCCTTTCCATCTTACTGGTCGCCTGCCCTGCCCCCTGGACCCCAGGCACTCTCAGCCCTGCTCGGGGACGGGCAGGCCCTCGTCGTGCCGAAGCAGCTCGGAGAGCAGACATCTCCGTTTATCTCTAGGTGGGAGGCCTGGAGGCCATGAAGCTGGTGCATTGCCTGCATTATCGGTCCCGTAAGTCCAAACTCCTATACATTGAGTGTACTTGGAATAGACAGTTTAGATTGGAACGAAGGGGCACGAGAGAAGGAAGATGACTGAGACGTGGGGCAGAATGGAGAATAAGAGAGGGAACCTGTAAATGAACAAGAACACGCTTGTCTACTGGCCACCTGGCTCTGGACAGCACCTTCCTATTACAAAGCATTTAATACACTCACACTTACTGTTTAAAACCTGCATTTCAGGCAGAACTTTGATGGTGTGGGAGCCTGGAGAAGGCCCAGGAGACAGCGAGGAGATCTGGGGCTCAAATTGGTCCGTCCCTACATCGCCATTTAATTCTGGGAAGGCACCTCACTTCCCCGAGACTCAGTTTCTCTATTGGGCAGACAAAAACTAAGCCAGAATTAGGGCTTGGATGATAGGATTGCTATGAATCCCTCCAACCCTGAACTTCGATGATGCCATTTACAGTAGCATCGTGCTGTGTTGTAACTGATTAGAGGGGGCTTTTGTGACACAGAGAAGGTTAGACCTAACCCTGTAGGGGGCAATACACTGGCTGAGAAGCTGTTCCAACATCAGCTGTGTGACCTTGACAAAGGAGGTGAGCCTCTCTGAGCCTCACTTTCCTAATGAGAAGATGAGAACAATACGGCTCATCTGCGGGGTGGTTGTGCATACTGAATGAGACCGTGAGTAAGAGATGTTAAACTGTAATGGACTATAAAGATGAGAAAACACCCTGGCCGGTTTGGCTCAGCGGTTAGAGCGTCGGCCTGCGGTCCAGAGAGACCTGGGTTCGGGTCCCGCTAAGGGCATGTACCTCGGTTGCAGTTTGTCCCCGGCCCTGGTCGGTCGTGCGGGTGGCAGCCACTCGATGTGTCCCTTTCACATCGATGTTTCTCTCTCTCTCTCTTCCTCTCCCTCCCGCTCTACCTGTAACGTGTTATTGGTATTACTATTACCACCATGCAAAAATGCTTTAGCCTTCTAAGAATGACTTGGCAAAGGATACGAATGATCAGTAGCCCTTACTATTTCCAGCATTAATTCTGATCAGGGAATAAAAGCTATTTATAAATAGGGGGGGAAAAGTTCAGCTTTTTTTTTTTTTTTTTTTTTTTATTCTCACCTGAGGACATTTTTTGATATTTTGTTCAGATAGAGTGGGAGGGAGAAAGAGAGAAACATCGAAGTGAAAGGGACACATGGAGTGGTTGCCACCCGCACAATCCAAGGGCCCGGGACAAACTGCAACTGAGGTATGTGCCCTTAGGGAGAACCAAACCCGGGTCTCTCCAGACCGCAGGCCGACGCTCTAACCACTGAGCCAAACTGGCCAGGGCAAGTTCAGCTTCTTCATTGCTACTTGACACCCAGGATTTAGACTTCTAGGTGTCTCCCGCCCTCTCTAAACCACTTAGTATAAAGAATGGGAATTAGCACATTAGCAATGAGATTTTCTCCACCATCAGGGCAACAAAGGCAACTCTTTATACAGATCTTTCAAAGACCAACAAAATTACCATTAATATTAAAGATCAATATACCATCATCCTTAGAAAGGCAATGCGTGTTCTTCCAAACTTCCTAAAAAATGATGACTAGAACACACTATTATGATGGGAATGCAGGGTCCTGGACCCTCCTTTGGAAACAGGTGGTCTTATTTCAGTTTGCATAACAAAAGAACAGCCACCCCCACTTAAATAGCCCCTAAGGAAATATTTGGAGCTAAGTGTTAAGAGTTAGCCAGTGTGGCTCAGTTAGTTGAGCATCATCCCATGCACCGAGAGGTCACCAGTTCGATTCCTGGTCAGGGCACATGCCTGGGTTGTGGGCTCCATCCCCAGTAGAGGGCGTGCAGGAGGCGGCCAATCTGTGTTTCTCTCTCATGGATGTTTCTCTCTCTCCTTTCCTCTCTCTCTGAAAAAGAACTAAAAACATATTTAAAATTAAATAAATACATAAAAAAGGATAAACATTTTCCCCCCCCAGGATGGCAAAATGACAGAGGGACTTCACCTCTGGGCACCATTCAGGAAGCCTGTGGGTGTTTTGTTCCCTGATGTTCTTGAGCTGCTCTGAGTTTTAAGCACTGGGTTTCTGAGGGCAGAGGCTTTGGCAAGGACGTCAGTATATAAAAACCAAACAAACTCTTAGTTAATAGAACTTTATGGAAACCACAGCTAGCATGAGCTGCATGTAAGAGGGAAACTAAATTTATTTTTTTAAAACCTTACTTCTTTATGTTTGTTTTGGTTTTACAAAAATACCTTGAAAATAAAAGCAAAGGTAGCAAGTACTTTAAGGGGAAGGCACCATTTTATCCATTCCTTTAAAATTCCCATAAGAAGGATTGTAATAAATACTTGCCAATTAAATTATTTTAAAAGTTTCATGAAGAGACATACCCTGAATCAGAATAATCATTTATATATCATTATTATATAATGATATATAATTACCCCAAAATAAAACCAGTAATTGTGTTAAGAGAAACAAACTCATTTCTAATGAATTCTATGAAATGTAAGTTCTATGCCTCATGGAAATTTGGGGCTAGAATTAATTCTTGATTCACACCTATGCCTCCTTCTGCCTTGCCAATCCTAGGAGATACATAATCAACAATTTGGCATTCCAATTAATTAAACTCATTGCACTCTTTAAACTCCAAAAGTATCTACAGAGAGTAAAAACAAAATATGTACATATTATATATACATATACACATATATATATAAAGTTGTTTCAACCAACAGATTTAGGGATAATTGCTAAAAGTTAGAGAATATCTTGTCATGACCAATAAATTTGTCGATGATTGCTAGAATACATGTCTACCTTGTCAAACTGTCATTACTTGTCATAATTGTTTCTTTCCTTAAATGAATCATGTCTAACAGCTGATGAGCAGTAATTGATTTAATCCTCTGAGTAACAGGATCATCCGTATCATTATATATTGTTTTCGCCCAATATATTTGCTGTGCTTTTTATTGAGTAACATGGAAACGAGTGTGGAGTTGGCAGCCCAGTAATAAATAGCCCTAATGTTATCTGAGTTTCTCTCTTGCATTGACAAAAATGGTGATAAATTGGATGGTAATTGAGAGAGAGAAGGAAGATGATTACTTCTAATGCCAAGATGAATTTATTTACCCCAGCCCTCATTACACACCCATTCTTTCCCAACAGCGTGCGGGTTTAGCCCTGAAACAAAAGCAGCAGCCCAGGGTACCGGCCCCTCTGGCACACACAGCCTTGTACCCCTGTGGCCACGCAATGTAAGCTGACCACGTGACAGGTGTCCATAGGAGGGGCGGGGGGAGTGGGTTGAGGCACTTTACCTTCTTGCACACAGATGGGTTTATCACTTGGGATCCAGCCTAGGGTGCCATTGACATGCTTCATACACAGTCTCTTTGTAGAGCCCTTCAGCTTGAATCCGTCTTGGCAATGAAATCGGGTGACAGAGCTTTCAAAGAAAACGCCTCCAGTGGGCGTCCGGAAGCCATTCTCGGGGACGCCCGGGTCAGCACACACCTGAAGGTCATCGAACCCTACATTGAGAGAGGAGAAAAGGTGTCTCTGCATATATCCCCATGCCAAGGGTCTTCCTAGGTAAACAGCAGATACTGTATTCTCTTCGACACCACGGACCACCCCGCTACCCCAGCAGAAAGCCAAGGGTGTAGGCCTTCTGGTGTACACTTCCCTCTGCTCTCTGTTCTCCGCTGACAGTGCTCTTTGGAGCTCCCAGGGCCACGGCCAAGTTAGCTTTCCAAGGAGGTCAGAGGAGCGGGGAGACTGGAAACGCGAGCAACCAAGGAACAAGAGGGTCGCTGCCCCAGCAGGTGGACAGAATGCTGAGGGCTGAGGGAGGAGATAGAACTGGCATGGCCTCGAAGGGTAGGCAAGATTTCTACCGACAGACTGACTTCGTGGAGGGAGGCATGGATGGCATTCTAACAGGAATGGCCCGCGCGATGGCCGCAGGCTGGAGACTGGTCCGTGTTGGGCAGCAGTGTGTGGGCCTGAGACTTCGGGTGTGCAGAGAGGCATGCTGGGAATGCCAGCCCTCCCCTGCCCCTGGTTCTCACCCTCTTCTGCCAGGCCTCAGTCAAGGTCCCCTGGTCTGGGAGGCCTCCCTTACCCCCCCTGCCCCCCAGCCCCTCTGCGTCCCACCCCTGTGATGTGAACCCGCCCTGCACCGAGTTCGCTGGAGGAGAAGAGTTGCTTCTCCAAGGCCAGGTCCTGAGACCTTCTCATCTCTGCGCCCCCGGAATCTCTCACAATACCCTGCATAGGAAGCACCCCATAAATGTTTGCCGAGTGAGTGAACAGAGTTGGAAAGGAAGCTGGAGACACTCTGGGGTGATGCCAGGGAGCCAGAGGAGGCGGGTCTGGAGCTGGGGCGGCCGGTGGGCACTGGGAGGTCAGCAGGTGGGGTGGGTCAGAGGCGAAGGCCTGCAAGGCGTGAGAATGCAGGTCCTTAAACAAACACGGCTGCCGTGGGCCGGGGGAGCCAGGGATAAGGAAGGTCCTCTGCGTGCACGTGATCTGAATGCGCTGTCACAGGGAAGAAAGGGAAGGGTCCCTGAGATCCGACACAGTCAATGGACGTACCCGCACTGAATAGGGGCCAAGAACAGGCACATACGACTCCCTCCAGAGGGGCCGGTGTGCCCATCCACCCCTCTCCAGGCAGCTGCTCATGCCAGATGGGGCTGGACACCGTCCAGACGTGACAGAGAAGCAGGAACAGCCTGGACCATGCGATGAAACCCCAGGGCAGACCTCAGGCTCTCGGAGGACTTACCCTGGTGTTCAGGTAGTGCCCAGATGTCAGGCTCATCAGCTATCGAGTCCTCTCTAACACACTGAGCTTGCAGATGTCCCCAGCTGGTAGGGGATACGTCACCCCAACCTCAGGTGCTCACGCAGGACTCACTTGCTGCCCGCCCCAAGTGGCCTCATGACCCTGGACATTCCGCCAGTGACGCCATGCTGAAAGTCACAGTGGCGTGATGTCCAGAAGTCACGGTCCAAGGACACTCCGTGCAGAGGGCCTGAGGCATGGGGGTGAGCGGAAGGCCAAGGAGGGAGGCAGGCGGGGTGGACAGCATCCACACCCCACTCGACTACACCTGTAAGTAGGCGCAGGCCTGACATTTGATCAAACGGAGGATGCTTTTTTATTATCATAGCCGACATACCATCTTATCTGGGTCTCAGGTGCACAACAGCAGTTCACCATTGATAACCTCACAACGGGATCATCCGGTAAGACCAGGAACCATCTGCCCCTGCCCAGGTCGTTTCCACGTTGACTGTATTCCCTGTGCTGTGCCCTACGGCTGAGGCTCACTTGCTTGATGACCGGAGTGTGTGCCTCTTACTCCCCCTCCCCTTGTCACCCCGACCCTCCCCTCTGGCAACCATCAGTCTGTTCTCTGCATCTATGAGCCTGTTTCTGTTTTGTTTTTTAGATTCCGCAGGTAAGTGAAATAGAAAATGCTTTCATGGCGCATGGGCCAGCCGCCTGAGCCCCCTCCCGCGGGGCAGACTGAGCACCTGCCCGCCAGGCTGTGTCCCAGCCCCGCAGAGGGTGGTTAACACCAGTCGGGGTGGGGGTGGGGCGGGGAATAAAGTATTGGTGAGCAATTAAGTGATGGCTTCATGTTTTTATTCTGAAGGAGAACACTGCAGCTTGTCAAGGGCTTGCTAAGTGGCCAATGGCAGTGATTTCCTTCAGTCGGAGGTCGCAGGGAGGGTCCTTTCCGTTATGGGTTTGAGGCGACAAAGTAGCAACGAAGGAACCCCAGTCCCAGCCCAGCCCAGCCCGCCCGGCGGCAGAAGGGACCCCGGTCCCGGCCCAGCCCAGCCCGCCCGGCGGCAGACCGCAGAGCCCAAGTGGTGTGGCCACTTCTGGGGCGGTTTCTCACACACGCTGTAAGTCAGAGCCCATGTCTGCTCTCCTGGCATTGGACAGGGCAGACGTGTGTCACTGGTGGCCTCAGAAGGGTATCTGAGTGCTGCCACGGAATCCTCGGGGGGGTGCCCACCCCAGCCAGCCAGAGGGAGAAGGGCACCGCGGAGGAAGGCCCGAAGGTGCTGAGCATGTTTCTGGAGGGGTGGTTCTGCCAGGCTGGGGGCTGAGCCTGCTGCAGCTGGGGCTTAGGGGGAAGAGGAAGGGGACAGCAGGTGGGGTAAGTTTCCCCACCTGGTTGTGGCCTGGGAGGGAACGCAGACCCCGGAGGGAGTTGCCTTCCACTGAGGCAGGAAGGGGGCTGATGAGAGAACTTCCCCTAAGGAGGGAAGGACGGTCCCCAGGATGTGCTCACCCTCCAAGACTTAGCTTAGATAGCACCTCCCCCTGGGAGGCTCCCCTCCCTTCAGTCTGACTAGAAAGCCTCTCTTCCCATCGAGGAACCCGGCTCGCCTCTCTTTGGGTGCTCCTCACCTGTCTCTGCTGGTCTACTCAGCTGCCTCTCCCACTGGGGGGAGCTCCTGAAGGGGGAGACCAGGTCTTATGCTTCAGCTCCTCAGCACCTGGCATGGTGTGTTGTGAGCGTGGGCATCCCACAAGTGCTGCTAATGAAAGAGGAATGAATGCAGGGAGGGAGGGAGGATAGAGGATGGGTGGATCAGTACGTGACGAATAAATGGATGGATAAAGGATAAATGGATAAATGGATGGATGGATAGAGGGTAAGAGGGTAGCTGGATAATGGATGGATGGATGGATGACGAATGGATAAAGGACAGATGGATCAGTTGGTCATGGATAAATGGATGGATGGATAAAGGATAAATGAATAAATGGATGAATGGATAGATGATAAAAGGGTTGCTGGATGATGGATGGATGGATAAAGGATAGATGAATAAATGGATGGATGGATGAATAGATGGATGGATGGATGGATGGATGGATGCATGGATAAAGGGTAAATGAATAGATGGATGGATGGATGGATGGATAAAGGATAGATGAATAAATGGATGGATGGATAAAGGGTAAATGAATAAATGGATGGATGAATGGATGGATAGAGGGCAAGAGGGTAGCTGGATGATGGATAGATGGGTGGAGAATAGGTGGGTGGATGGATGAAGCCACACGCCATCTGCTCTGCTGGTCTTACCAGGCAAACATCCCTACCTCATCCCACTATCATTTCGATAGGCTCTGAGGCTTATATAGTCCACAGACAAGGGAGGTGTGATATCCCCCTTCCCCAGCACAGACACACTCTCTTCCAACACCCTCTCACCTTCTTCTCTTCTCCTAACCTGAGCGAACTGTGTTCTTTACATTTTTACAATCTTCTTCCAATCCACATCCCCAGACAAATCAGCCCTCCCTCTCCCTCTCCAACGTCGGGCCAGAGGTAGGTGTATGCTAGGGATTTGGCTGAGACATCTGTGTTCCCCACACACACTTTTTGACCAGCCAGTCTGCTCACAAATGAGCCATACTGGCTGCTGAGTCCTTGGCACAGACGCTTCCGCTTGTCACACCTCCTCACCCTGGGCTACAGAACTGCTCTCTCTCGGAGAAGGACAGATATAACTCAAGGGAGAGGTGACGATCCAGCCCTGAATCCATCCGAAAAACGACTCCTGCTCTAATAAATAAATGATGAGAGCATCAAGCAAACAGCAGAATTTCCTCGTGGATCCAATTCCGTACTCTTTATGCATTCCTTCCCCTTTAAAAGAACATCCCCGCCCGGTTTCTCTGTGCTGCCACGTAACCATAGTTACCCTCTGACTCTGTCCCTGCCCCGGACTGTGCTGACGATCCGGATGCTGCTGGTCATGGGCTGCAGCCGTTGATGCAGAAGAGGGGTGTGAGAACGAGCGGTGAAAAGAAAGCAATCAGAAGGCAGGGCGGCATAAGCAGGAAATATTCTTCATTTTGGACAACTAATCCCATTGAACAGATAGTAATTTTCGAGGGCTTGCCAGAGTTTCAGACTCCACTTTTCAAATCGCCCCCTAGAGCATCAGTTCCCAGCCACTTTCTCTGTAGCTCTGCTCTCTTAGTGTCTTTCTCTAACAGCCCCATCAGATAGCGTATCCACCAAGGAGGTGGGCTGGCTTCGGTGTTAGGGAAGAGGAGTGGAAAATAACCTGCATACTGGCCAGTATCCTGTTGTCTTAAAATCCCAGCCGATCTCCCACCCATTCTTCAAATTCTCCGTATGCTTTTGAACTAAGTGGTCGCAGCTTGGAGGAGAGAAGGGAGTTCACAGTGATTTCCAGCATGCTGGTTTTGGGGGAAGAATGGAACATTCTATTTTAATAAGCCCTTGGAGGTGGCCTCCCCTAGCATTCCTCCTGAATTCAGTTCAGAGAGCAGCACTTATATACAAGAGATAGTCGTTGGGATGGTTCATTTTATGTGTCAGCTTGACCGGCTATGGAATGCCCAGGTGTTTGATCAAACAGTGAGGGTGTTTCTGGGTGAGATTAACATTTCAGTTGGTTGACTGAGTGAAGCAGATTGCCCTCCTTAATGTGGGTGGGCCTCATCTAATCTGTTGATGGCCTG